GTGACTCTCAGAGCCCACTGCAGGGATCCTGGAGCCGAAGATGACGCACGTGCGTGCGTGCGTGTGTGTGTGTGTGTGTGTGTGTGTGTGAGAGAGAGAGAGAGAGAGAAAGTGAGAGAGAGAGCGAGAGCAGGTGGAGGAGACTGGTAGGGGCACTGGTGGTTTGGACCAGGACGTGAGCAACCAGCACCCTACTCGGGAATGGAGTGTATCACAGTTGGGCGATGAGGTGACTGTGACCTATGTTTAGTCCTGACAAAACTGTGTGAACAGTCATTATTTAGTTCATTTTATATGCAAAGCAACAAGCCACAATGCTGTAGTCAGTTGCCCAAGGTCACATGTTAGTTAAGGGGGCAAGTTGCTGAGATCCCAGCTTGGGCTCCATTCACCTTGAAGCCCCCAAAAGTCAGCTCTCCCGTGACCCTATTTCAGCGTAAATGCTGACATAGTCACCCTGTTCAGACTAACCCTCCACCCATAGGCCCTCAGGGGTGGTGGTGGTTTGCCTGGAGAGTGGAGTGAAAGACTCCTTCCTTCCTTCCCTAATGTTGGCAGGGGGGGAGGAGGCTGACTCCAGACGCCTTCTCTGTGGCTCCCTGCAGGTAATTGGCAGCTGGAGGAGGTGGTGACTCAATGGGCCAGGCAGAGAAGAGAGCTCAGACTCTGGTTTAAACAGCAACCCTCACCAATAATGAAAGATTAGGAGTGGGAAAACCACAGATAAAAATAGCACTTACTAGTTAACTGGAAAACAATATATTTTTGCAACCACTGGGTCCACAAGAAAATAATTGGGTCCCAAGGCAGGGAATGACTCGTTTTCATGAATGATTATATTGATCATTGGAGCAAAATGGATACATCCCCTTGGAAAGCAATGCAAAGGAGAAGCGTCTGGCTGGTCAGGCATGCCCGGTGTGAAATTCTGTGAGACTGCAAGAGAATGAACCGAAGCTGCAAGCTAATGAGGGAACCAGGGCTGGCCCCAGCACAAGCAGGCGTGGGGCTGCTGCTCGGGAGATGGCAAAGCAACAGGACTTGCTTCCACTTAGTCCTGAGCTCTCCCACAGGAAAAGAGTGTCCATTCAAGAGTGTCCATATTTGTTCCTTGTTCTTTTTAACCTATTGGGTTTTTTTGTTTTTATTTCCATCTCTTTTTAGGAGGGGTTCGAACAGCAAGCAGCTTGTTTAACGGCTAAAAGCATCAGACTGTGAGGATGGTCCACCTTCCCTTTGCCACCCCCAGTACATCCCCTCCTCCCCATCCATGGCCATGGACACATTCAGTCATTCATTCTAGAAATAGTTCTAGGGAAACAACTGTAACTAAAAAGCAATAGGAAGCATTGGTTATTGCTTCGTACGTGCCGGGTGTTGTTCTAAACACTACACTTACTAGCCCAGTTACTCTTCACAACAGCTCAGCTTAGGTGCTAGTAGCGTAACATGCGTAACGTCTCAGACAGACGCCGGACACCACTACATGCCAGAGACAAGGGGCCTGCTAACCACCGGACCTGGCTCGTGGCTTCATGGCACCTGTTTTATCTAATGTATCAAAAATGGTCACTCAGATAAGGAGAAGTGCAAAGCATGGGAAGTAGGAGAGTGTGTGTGTGTGTGTGTGTGGGGGGGTGGTCTCAGGGCCTGGCTTCGTGAGGAGGCTCTGAGAGGAACGGTGAGACTGTGAGACCTGCCCCCTCTCTGCTCTTCAGGGAAACCTCCCGGGCTCCCTATTTAAAGCAACCCCACCACCACCCTTGATATGCTCCCCGACCTAGCGCCACTGCACAGATTGTGAGCTTATCATGTGACACCCCCCACCTCAGCAGAACTGGGCCCACCCTGAGCGGCTGCTGTAGTCATGACTCTGGTGCCTGACTGGCTGGATGCGGGGCCCTGGCCTCCGTGGACTCGGTGGGCTGGGCAGAGGCAAGGTTCTGGGTTTCTGAAGTTTTTTCAGCATCAGGGTGTTTAGATCACTGCCCAGTGCGATGAGGTCGCACTGCTCCAGGTAAGTGGAAGGGGGGGATGAGGCAAGGCTGGGGTGGCTCTGGGGTACTAGAACTTCTCCAGGGCCTGCAGGGAGCTGCCTTGGCTGGACTTACAGGCAGCTGGGCCCCTCCTCAGAGGAGCCTCGAGGGAGGCTGGGCTTTTGCCTGCAGGCAGCTCTGCAAGCAGACCTGTGTTCGAACGGGGTCCTGGGGACTCTGCCAGGCAGAGTAGCACAGACTCGGTGCCGGCCTGCGGCCACGCCCTATTCTCACAGGTGCCATTTGGGTCTGTCTCTCCAGTTCCCTGGGGGCAGGCCTTTCCTTTGGTTGCCCGCTGGTTCCTGGAGCAGTGGGGGAACTCAGAGGGGCTTCCTGGGTGGCACAGCTGCTACTGACCAGCCCCTTTCAGGTGGGGGCTCCTGGGCACGTGCCCTCCTGCAGGCCCTGCAGCTGTGGTGTTTGCACCGGTCACCCAAGGCACCAGGAAAGGGCGGTAGTTGTGGAGCGCTACTCGGGGAGCCTGGAACGTACATGTGCGCCCTGGTTGCTGTTCCTGAGACCCCACCCCTAATTCTGTGGGGAGAAACCCCAGTCTGAGCATCAATAAATCGTTTGTCTTTGATTGGGCCAGTTTCCAGTAGTCAGATTCACCGCCTTTGTTTTGTCTCCCTTAGCCCTTAGTGGTAAATTCTTTTCTTGTCTCCTGAGGACATTAAGGCAGGGCTCAGAGTTCCACCCAGGCCGGCTAATAACCACAGCCTTTTCCTCTGTCTAGTCCTCAGCCTCTGCCACAACAAATGAAGGGTGGCAGTTGGTCCCAAGCTGTGCTGCACAGTGGAACTGCAGGCACTACCAACCCAGAGCTGACCCAGTAGCTCTCAGAAGTGGGAGAAGGTCTCACAGTCTTCCAGGACCCTTCAGCCTAGTCTGGCAAAGCTGGGTGACCAGGGACACTGGCTTGCTGTCTCTCATGAGGGGTTGGGCCATGCCCTCTCCCCAGGTGGCACTTCCATTCCTCCAGGGTTGGTCTCTGGCAGAAAAGCAGCCAATTTGTTGCTTTGGAGAGAACAGGATAGAGCTGGGGATCAAAATACCATTGCTAGATTTTCTGTTTCAAAGCTTTGAACTCTGGGTCCTTAACTTCCCTTTTTTTTTCTCCCAAAGATTTATTTATACATGCATACAAGAGCTGGGGTACAGGCCAGAGGTGCGGGGAGATGAGAGGATTCACCAGAGACAGAGTGGGGAGCAGAACAGGCAGATGGACTGAAATCCATTGCTGAGGGGAACAGCGGGGAGAGAGGAAAGGTCTGCCGTGCCATGTGGGTCAGCTCCCTGGCCGGGGATCGAACTCATGCTGCAGTGGCTGTGGCTAGCTTCATAGTGCTGTGCTTCAACCTGCTGGTGCCAGGAAGGGCCCCTTAGCTTCCCTTTTTGTAAGCTGGCGGAGACCACCAGGGTTAACTCTGATCTAGAAATGGAGAAGCACTTTGTAAATGGAGCAGTCATTGAGTTGGGCCTCTCCCTCTGGACGATGGGACTGATGGTGATTTTCCTCACTTCACCCTTGGTTTCCCTGGGTGAAAATGAGCCAGGGCAGATTTAAACTTCTAGGTTGGGCCACTGTCGCCCCAGGCCACCCACCCACACAGCCCACATCTGAGTGACTGCCTCCCCCGTCATTTGATGCGTCCTTAAGGGAGACAAACTCATTTCATTACAAGCACAAAGTGTAATTAGGACAGCAAATCTGCTGTTTAACAAAAAAAATAAAATAAAATAAAAAGTCCTATGACAGATTTCAAGGTCCTGGAGAAGTGATTTGAGGCTACAGGAAGATAGGGAAGACCTGGCCTTCAATTTAATCTCTCCCAGCCTCGCAACAAAACTCAGGATGTGGTAACTCTGTTTACTGCAGGAAATACAACAATGGCTTTTCAAAAAAACTATTGTGAGACAGTCTGAGTTGCGTGAGTTGCTCGTCCATTCTGTGATGAGCCCCCCACCACCCACTGCCCCCTGAGCCATCGGGCCCATTTGTTCCTGGACATCTGTTCCTCACCAGGCGTGGGGTCGTCTCCTCCAGGCCGCACAGCAGCTCTAGCTGGCAGGTTCTGTTAGCTCCATTTTATGGCGGTTCAGAAAGGCAAGTGGCTTGCTGGGGGTTGCAAAACGTGAGTGGAGGAAGTGGGTTTGAGGTGCCGAGCTCTTGGCCTCCTGGCTGTGCCGCTGCTGCTGACAGGCCTCTGCCACGGGCTCAGTTGCTACCCAGCCGGCCTTCTTCCCTCACTCTCGTCAGAGTGGACCCCTCCTTGACCGAGGGGGGTTCAACAGTCTGTCAGCCGCCCGGTCGCCGCTGGTGCTGGCACACAGCTGCAGGCCAGCAGCACATGTCTTGGTGGGCTGTGTCCAGGCCAGAGGATGGAGGTAGGAGCAGAGTTAGGGGCATCTGTGGGCCTCTGGAAAGTGCCTGGGGTTCACCGGAGGAGCAGGGAACCCCTGCCTGTGGGAAGTTTGCCTAATGGGGGATGCCGCCTCCAGAAAGCACCTTCTGCTTAGCCTGCTCAGTAGGTTTTTGAATTTATGCTCTGTGAGTTTGCCTTATGTGTATTTTTTAAAAAACTTATTTATTAATGCATTCAGAACCTGGGGCACAGGCCAGAGGTGCTGGGGGGTGAGAGGATTCACCAGAGGCAGAGTGGGGAGCAATGGGTGAGACAGGAGAGGTCTGCTGTACCCTGGAGGTCACTCCCTGGTGGGGAATCAAACTCGTGCTGCAGGGGCTGCGGACAGCTTCATAGTGCTGTGCTTTAACCTGTTATGCCACCAGGGAGGCCCTTACAAGTATCATTACAGAACCCCAAAGTCCTTTCCTACCAGGGTTTTCTGTCCCTGAAAGGGCCCAGGGCTCTCCGAGCTCAAGCTTGACTGCCCAGTCAGGTTGTGCCCTCCTCACCCCCCCTTGCCCCCTCCCAACACTGATCAGCCCTGCTCTGCCAACAGGTGGTCTTCTGGCCTTCCTGAGGTGCTGTCCCTCTCGGTGGACCTGCACTGCCCCGCCCCGGTGATTCCCAGCTTCTGCCTCTGCAGCCTCTCTGCCTCTCTGACCAGAGATGTTCCTGGTGGGCCTGACCGGAGGCATTGCCTCGGGCAAGAGCTCGGTGATCCAGGTGTTCCAGCAGCTGGGGTGTGCGGTGATCGATGTTGACGTCATAGCCCGCCATGGTGAGTGGAGGGCCGGTGCAGGAGCGCCGCAGCGCACCCCTAGTTCCCTTCCTCCCGTCAGTGCTCCTGTCAGCCCTGGCCTGAACCTGCCCCTGCCCCACAGGCCTTCTCTGCTGCTCTGCCATCTCCTTCCCCCTCACCTGCAGGAGCATCTGTGCTTCCTTAACTGTTTTCCCTGCCTGCGTTTCATTTTTTCTCCGACTGAAGGAAGCACCCCTGGCCCCCCCCCAATCATTTTGCCTCTAATCTCTTGGGGTCCCCGGGTTGGCCCAGAGGCTGTGCAGAGTGACCCTCCTCTTCGTACCACAGTGGTCCAGCCGGGGTACCCCGCCCACCGGCGCATCGTGGAGGCCTTTGGCCCCGAAGTCTTGCTGGAGAATGGCGACATTGATCGCAAGGTGCTGGGGGACCTGATCTTCAACCACCCTGCGCGGCGGCACCTGCTCAACACCATCACCCACCCCGAGATCCAGAAGGAAATGGTGAAGGAGACTTTCAAGTACTTCCTCCGGGGTAAGGCCCGAGGCCTGGGGGCTGGGGGCCCTCTGCGGAAAGGTTGACCAGGTCGGGGGAGCTGCTTACCCAGGCTGTGGAGTTCAAGCTGTTTATTGGCACCCACCCCCCGGGCAGAGCCCTGTGCCAGCCCCAGAGGAGAGGCACATGTCCCTCAACTCTTAGGGAGGTTGACAGTTCAGTGAGTCGTTTGAGCCTTGATCCCCAAGAAGCAAGTTGCTTTTTCAGGTGGAAATGGAGCCGTGGGGCCTGAGTGTACGTCCCGTCCCTCATAGCGCCAGACCCTTTTTCCTCCCATGTATTGAGTCCTCATGTGCATAGTGCTCCTTCCCCACCCCCCTCTGGGGAGGAGGACTCTGGAAGGCAAGTGATGACTTGTCAGACATCACACTATTGCCCCCCACCTGGCCAGGGTGGCACTAGGCATCCCCTGCCCTGCCAGTTGAGGGCTCACCCCAGCTCCATCTCAGTACCTGGCTGCAGGCCTCCTACCCGTCCCATCCCGGTCCCCCCC